ATCCAGATTGCGGTCACGAGTTGACTACTTAGCCAATTAACTGGTATTATCATATTGATTTCGCTTAAGGTCAATCTTTCGTATATCCGGCAAAATTTATTCCAGGTAGTTGGAGAAGAAGGGAAAGAAAAGAAAGGAAAAGGGGAAATCTTCGAGAGCCTGTAATTGGGCATTTTATGTTCAGCGTTGAATTTGAGCGATTGGAGCTCCGTTTGTTCTATGGGATAGAATGCTCTCCACAGCAAATGCGCCACCGCGATCTGGCTCTCCTGATTCTCACCCTCTTTAACACGATGAATAGAAAAATACAAGAAAAGCATATTTATGATATTTCCAAAATTGCTCTAAACGGAAGTGAATAATTTGTATAGTTTTCAAATTTCCAGCGCACCCTGGCTACATGGCATAGGTGGTCAAAACCAAAGCCTCCACCATTGCAAAGATCAAAGTCTGACTCTTTTTTGCTAGACAATGTGAAACAAGGCAGTATGAAGAATGTAAGTGAATCATCTGCCCTTTGACTTTTTATTTCTAATATGTATCTGAAGAGATTCTGGATGTTATGGAATTGTATCTCCTCGTTACAGGATACTTTATCTCGTCGTCGTGGTAGCATATCGCAGGCTATATCGACTCATACTTGGCGAACAGCTGGTGCTGTCTGCGGTCAGGATCCCGAGTAAGGATTTTCGTCATGCTAAAATATGGCATGGTTTCCTAGTGTTATTTCGGTCGCAGGAGCCGTAAGATGTTCTTGCTCTCAGAGGAGTGAAGGGGAATCCATTTGAATCCAGTTGTTCTTGTAGATCAGTTAACTTTTCTTCATTACCTTTTGGCTTTTGCTTACACATAGGCTTCACAGAAAGGGCCTTGTACGGACAGTTCTGCCTGGGGAAACGAAATCGATATCTTCAGTCTTCAATAGCGGCCATCCACTTAATAGCAATTATCGTGTACAACTCTCCTGAATGCTTCAAAACTGGCACTTGCTTTCAAAGTATTGTGGGTGACTCTTTCAGTTTTTGTGTACGCCCATATTCCGTTATACCGTATGAATGGCCTGATGATTTGACGCGGTGGCCGGTGAGTATTATTATTTCATAACTTTTTTGAGGAAGGCTAAATTGGAAAAAGAGAATAAAATGGTCACTCGGATTAATTTCTAATTTTATTTAGATATGCGAAGAACACCGCCAAGGTGCTTTCTTACCGACGCACATGACATGTCAGGTAATCCCTTTCCAATGTTTTCTTTTCTTAACTGGCTCCATAGCTTTCCATGGTCACTGGCTACGTGATTTAGGTGACTGGTCGTCCATGTTGTATCCAGATGCAGGGTCAATGTCGAATCGCAACTCGAGAGTACTGTAATTTTGTGAAGGGCCACTTTCATGAGAATGCTACCTTATGTAGTCAGGTTGGTTAAGTCGTTTTCAATGCATATTTTTGCACAGCCCTGTATTCTGCTGAAAAGAGCATGGAATTGTGTTGTGTTCTAGATAATTAGAAGCTTGGGTTGCTATTACAATTACTGGTTGAAAAAATTGTGCAATCACTTCCAAAGATATCCATCTAGGTGAATTGCTTCTCCGATATTTGTGGCATGCTTCCGTTTCTGAGAAGAGATTATCCAGATCAGTTTTATCGCATGTTCTTTTCGTTATTCTTGCACGCAGGGTTCGTTGCATTTCACTTTCATAAGTCTGTCAATCTGTTTGAATTTTTTCATCTATTAGTTTTATGCTTTATTCTGCTTCAGTGGTTAGTTTTACATCTGACTATCATCTTGCTGTTCCTAGCATCATCCATGTCGCATTCACGGTATTCGTTCAAATGTGGTTGATGCTTGATCTTGAGATGTTAATTGGATGGAGGCGTATGGCAATTCTCTACATAGGATCTGGTATTGGTGGTAATATTGCCAGTGCAATTTTTGTGCCATACAGTGTGAGTGGTTTCTCTGTGTAGCACCTCTAGCTATTACTGTCAGTGATACAGTGCATCCACATTTTTCTTCCATAAAATTGGTCCTGGACGAGGCTTCTTTTTTCATACCCATAAGTGTTGCTGCTTATGGTTAGACTTGTTGGTGTACAGTTGCATTGGTGTTGTTACTCACAACTCTTGTAAAATTTTTGTTTTTTACAGCCTGAAGTAGGTCCATCGGGAAGTCACTTGGGAATTATGGCAGCGCTGGTTGTTGATTTACACCACCACAGGTTTGTTGTTTTTCTATTGGCAAAGAACTTCTCATTGATAATGAATTTCTATTGTTATTGGACAGCTTTCGCTTGATTTAGTTCTCTAGATTTTTTGTTGAAAAAGTGATAAAATCAATAATTCAAGCGCAATTGCGGATGATTTTGAAGCTTGTGAAATTCCTTTTCAGTTCTCCTCGATTGCTAATTTGTTAGGGTAATGCCCATTGCTAGCGCCACATCAGAGAAATACCAAATTTGTGGTTAATATGTAGCCACAAAACGATAGGCGGCGTGCCAAATACGCGGAGTCGGGGGAATTTGAGAACTGCCGAATCTGCGCATTGCACGGCGTCTATACGTGATGTGATCTGCAATCGCCGAATTCCATTGGGTCAAGATACCTCTTACTCTCTGATTCGCTGGCATAGCAAATGAATTTTTTGTCCATTATGCAAATTTCACTGCTCTCCGATGCGAAAGTGGTAGAGTCAAAACTTATTCTGAATCAGCGCTTATTCTTCCCGAGAACTCTCCTATTCCCTCATTCAAAACGTACTTGACTCATATTCTTAGTTCCGCAGATTTTGATAATGTATGCTGCCTAAAAGCATAATCGTACGATTTCATGCCACTGCATTTCTATGGGTGAAAGCAGCGTTCGAAAGAACCCTTAATTGGTTGAACCACACATTCTTCTACTTTGGCACTTTCCATTCTTGTCTGTGACACGAAAAGTCATTAGAATCTGCCGTTTCTCATATACACTCTAATTGCGGGTAGTGCGGTAATTATTATGCTTTTTAGGCATATCATCGTTCGACCTCATCGAGAATTGGCAAAGCATATGCTCACAGTATTTTTGCTATTTCTGACTGGTCTTCTCCCATGGGTTGACAATTGGGCTCATTTATTCGGCTTCATTTTCGGATTGCTAATCACTATTGGTTAGTTGTATGAATGGTTTTTGCGATTCGATAAGCGATTTGTATAGATCTGTTATTGACTCTTATAAGTTTCAGTGACATTCCCTTACTTAAATTTCGAGTCGCAAGAGAAATTAAAGCGAGGATGTCGATCGAAGTTATCAAGAAGACATGTGAGATTTTTAAAGTTGTTGGAAATGTGAAACCGCCAGTTCTAAACGCGGATAGGTTTCCTTTTACATTCAGTTGACGCTGCTTCGGTTTGACGAGCACCCTGTCCTGTGACACGTATCTTTTGTATAGGTGTCTGATTGGGCAGGATCAAGGTAGAAGCCAATCAAGGTCGGGCGTGGTGTACACCAAAGTGAGCGGGGTTTGCCAAAATACCTTACAAGGGAGGTCGTTCAGGGTGTGCCAAGCTTTTTCAAAATGGTTTCTTGCATGATATAGGGGCACATATGGGGACCACAGAACCATGGTTCATTTTTCCTGAACGGCCCTCTGAATACCAGAAAAGGGGTCCCTAGTTCGATTCCTCGTGGTGACAAATTTTTGCATTTCGAGTTGACGTTTCAAAATTCGCGCAAAAAGTTAGCATGAATAATTAGTACCAAATTCATGATTAGGACCGTCAGTAACCCTTACAAATAGACTTTGATTGAAAAACTGGTGAAAAAGGTGTGACTAGGGACCCCCTTTTCTGGTATTCAGAGGGCCGTTCAGGAAAAATTAACCATGGTTCTGTGGTTCCCGCATGTGCCCTATATCATGCAAAAGACCGTTTTGAAAAAGCTTGGCACACCCTGAAAGACCTTCCTTGTCAGATTGTTTCAAACTTATAACTAAATAGATTTCAAGAGGTCTCGGAGATTGGGGGAAAGTGGGGAGAGGTCGGCGAAGGGACGGAGGTCAACTGCTGTAGGTGGGTGGGGCGTGTACGGTGTGGGCGGAGTTTGCCCTAAACTCATAAATCGGTTTCGAAAAGTCCCGAAGACTGGAAAAAATGGATCGAGTCCGACAACGGAAGGGAGGTCAGCTAAAGGTGGATGAGGCTTGCACCGGAATAGGTGGAGTCATTCACGAAACATTAGAACTTGGCTCACAGGTGTCTTGGAAACCGGGAAAAAATTAGATAGGATCTGAGAACGGAAGGGAGGTCGATTGGTATTGGTGGGTGGAGCGCGCAGCCAGGTGGGCGGTTTTTCAGAAAGCGTTTCAAGAGTAGAATGGCCCTGTTTCACACCACTGCAGTCCCGTGTGATGCACGCGAATGCGTGCGCAGCCAAACTGGTGTACAATAAAAAAGAAACATGGTTCAGAGCAGTAAGCATACAGAGCTGTTACTGCTACTGTCTACTGATGTGCCGTGCAGTTACCATTGACGTTTTCTTTTTTTTGATTTTCACCTTTATTTCTTTTATCACCCTGTCGAGATGTGATTGAAACTTTTTCAGCTTGCAATTGTAACAGCTTTGATTTTGTGCGTGTTCCTGTACTTCCTACTTGGCTACATTTATTTCAATCAAATTGATGTGAATTGCCCATGGTGTCAGTACTTCAACTGTATTAACATAAAATACTTCACTGGTTCCAATCACTTCTGCGACAATACGGGACAGAAGCTCTCGCAGTGGCTTCCGATTTAGTAGCTAAGTATTATATTACAAAACCTATTTGAGTTATTATGTTGTTATGTTCGTAGTTTTCGAACTTGTTTTATCACAGTTTACTCTTTGCTTTCATTTTGTTTCCGCACAAAATAGTCGATCTTGTGGATTTGTGAATAACCTTACCAAAGGGCTTTAGATTTCATGTTAAGGAAAGCTTTAGCATAGGATTAAGTTTGGTTCTGCTCCTTTCCAGAAATCAGCAGTCAATCGCTTCGTGATTTGGTTTTATCACTTAATAATGTTGATCTTATGTCCGCTTGTCCTCTGAAGCCATTGTCCCTAAGTTAGAAAAAAGAGATCTAAGTGTGCTCTCCACCTCGACCATGCCAATAGAGTCACTCCTGTGGGGATCATGACTAGTCACAGTAAAACCGCCCTCATCCCTCTCTCATATAAACCTCAACCTTTAAGTGTTGGTTTGTTGGGTCTGGTATCCTATCGGCTTGTTTCTCGTTGTGTCCGTCCGTTGAGAAATACCGTTCTCATAGGGGTGAGCCAACCATTAGTAAAAGTGGGGAGCCCATAGGTCTTGCGATATCAAGGTTTTTTGATTGTGATCGTAGTGTAACCCTCTGTTAGTAGGAGGAGGGGGCAGAAAAAACTTTTTCACTCTCAGTTAAACTGATTTAGTCACATTTTGCTAAGCCCAACATTTGACTGGGAAGAGCATGATTGATTTTGTTAAATAACTTCACAATAGCCTTTTATCGGGCGACATCAGATAGATTTGTCGCAACACGGCGAGTGATGAGAGCCAGAGCCTCATTGAGATTCGATGGAGGTGGCGGATAACCTCATATTCTGCGGACGTTGAGGGCAGTAGACAAGAGCATCTTCCTGTATGAATACACTGCGGTAGGGCTCCAACCACTGTTGGTACCCTGTGCAGCAATAGGTTTGCTGATGTGCGCCAAAAAGTCTTTTTCGCTTCTCTCCCTCTCTCCCTGTCCACCTGTACGTTGCAAGCCAATAATGAAGGTAACGTTCCCAGTCCACAACATGCAGACCTCACAGGGGGAATGAGTACGGACGGAAGGGATGTGCGTATGTGGAAAGGAGGAATACTGACGCATCCTGGGAAATGCGAGTGGCTGTCATATTATTCAGAGGTTTC